ATATCTTAGTGACCATATCTACAGGGTGGGCCATTTATATGGATACACCGTAATAAAATGGGAATGGTTGGTGATATTAAAGTCCTGTTTGTGGCAGATTAGTATATGTGACGGGGCACATTCCACTAGATGGGTGGTGACCATGGTGGCCATTTAGAAGTCGGCCATCTTGGATACAACTTTTGTTTTTTCAATAGGAAGAGGGCCATCTGACACATCAAACTTATTGCTAATGTCACAAGAAAAACAATGGTGCGCTTGGTTTCAACGTAACTTTATTCTTTCATGAGTTATTTACAAGTTTCTGACCACAGAAATGCCAGCACAGGCATCCAGTATCTGTAGTTTCAGGTGCTGCACATCTCGTATCTTCACACCATAGACAATTGCCTTCAGATGACTCCAAAGATAAAAGTCTAAGGGGGTCAGATTGGGAGACCTTGGGGGCCATTCAACTGGCCCACGACGACAAATCCAACTGTTCATCTAGGAATGCTCGGACTGGGCACCCATAATATGGTGGTGCACCATCTTGCTGGAAAAACTCAGGGAACGTGCCAGCTTCAGTGCATAAAGAGGGAAACACATCATCATGTAGCAATTTCAAATATCCAGTGGCCTTGAGGTTGAGCCTTGAGAATGGACCCACTATCGTACCCCATATACCACACCAAACAGCACTTTTGTTGTTCTAACAGTCTTGGAGGGATCCATCCAATGTGGGTTAGTGTCAGACCAATAGCGGTGGTTTTGTTTGTTAACTTTGCCATTCACATAAAAGTTTGTCTCATCACTGAACAAAATCTTCTGCGTGAACTGAGGGTCCTGTTCCAATTTTTGTTTTGCCCATTCTGCAAATTCTGTGCGCCGATCTGGGTCATCCTCGTTGAGATTCTGCAGTAGCTGGAGTTTGTAAGGGTGCAATTTGTGAGTAGCTAATATCCGCCGAAGGGATGTTCGACTAATGCCCCTCTCCAGTGACATGTGGCGAGTGCTATGCTGTGGGCTCTTGCTGAATAAAGCTAGGACAGCCACTGATGTTTCTTCATTAGTGACAGTTTTCTTGCGTCCACATTTTGGCAAATCCAACACTGAACCAGTTTCCCGAAATTTAGCAAGCAGTTTGCTAACTGTAGCAGGGGAGATGGGTGGTCTCGTAGGGTGTCTTGCATTGAAATCTACTGCAATGACCTGGTTACTGCGTTCACCAGATATCAACACAATTTCGATCGGCTCCTCACATGTTAAACTCTTCGACGTGTCAATGGCTGTGAAAAAAGAGAAACTTGTAAATAACTCATGAAAGAATAAGGTTACGTTGAAACCAAGCACAACATTGTTTTTCTTGTGACACTACCAGTAAGTTTGATGTGTCAGATGGCCCTCTTCTTAGTGAAAAAACAAAAGTTGTATCCAAGATGGCCGACTTCTAAATGGCCACCATGGTCACCACCCATCTTGAGGAGTGTGCCCCATCACATATACTAATGTGCCACAAATAGGCCTTTAATATCACCAACCATTCCCATTTTATTACGGTGTATCCATATAAATGGCCCACCCTGTACTTAACATAATGCTTTCCTTAACGGCTAACTCATCAAACTTGAATACCTAACCCTAACTCTTAGCCTAAACCTAACCATAAACTAACTTACACTAAAACCACATTTTCAGTCTCCAAAATTCTTTCAAACTCTTGAGGACGAGCATTTTGTCCCCATAAGGCACTGTTGGTCCCCAGTAGTAGCATTCCAAGTTTTGGTCCTCACAAAAATATCTAAACGTGGCACGCACACACTGATATGTGTGCTGTTGGTGTTCTCACAACTCACAGCTCTCCCATGATATACACACACTGGAGACACAGAGTATCTCATGGATACACTGAGAAATACACTAATCTTTTCCAGCACTGTCACTTTAGCTCTCTCATTGCCTCATGAGGCCCAGCTAGTCAAGCAGTGGCATCTGTCTTTGTAGTGCAATTGCTTCCACTGCAACACAAAACACCAATTGAACTGTTGCATCGTTTTTTACTGCTATTCATCAATAGCATTGTTATCACTAAGAACTAAACTAAGACCTACAGTGCAGTGGTGGGTGAATGGCTTGATGTCACTTGTGGGTAGATCTGATTAATTATGGCAGATTGTGTGAATGATGATGAAGTTGAAGTGTCGTTTTCAAATGGCAGATGATGTAATACTCCAAACCCATACAAAATGTTTTATATTTCATTACAGTGTGTAAAATCTCACCACTTGATGTCAGTAGATTTCAGATTGCAGTCACCTGAGCTCTGTTTTCTTACCCTCCCAATTCAATTGCATAATCATTGCTACACAGCAAATCCAGCATGTCCAAATTAACACTGTTGGATTTGATTTCAACACTATTAAAGTGTCTATACGGGTCCACACCAGAGAGTGTTAATTTAACTCTTTTTGGAGAGTTGGTACGTTAACTCTGATTTAGTGTTAAACACCAAATCTGTCTGGAGTTGATAATTTAACACTTGGTGTTAAGAGTTTATATATTAACTCTCAAAGAGTATTTTAGTTTAACTACGTAAGAGTTATCTTCTAATTCATTCTAAAAAGCGGGAATTTTACTGTTCTGAACTTCTAGAAATTTCTTTTGGAAATAAACATTTACTAAAAAGATGCAATGGTTTTTGAAAAACATTTATTCTGAACTGTGCACCACAATTTCAAAACATTTTCTGAAAGATGTAACAGTATACATGTTCTCACTTTCATTAGAATTTTGTTTATCAAAAGGTCTGACATGGTAAATGCAAATAACAGCATTCTCATCACTTATTTCTTCAATACAATATGCATGTCCTTCATTCATCCCTTTGTGGAACTTCAACGCACTTCTGCTCTCCCCCATATTCCATCTTCACAAGCATATCCTGTGCGGAGATTGAATAAAAATTAGTTGACACTAATTAATGGCACAAATAATCCAGTAATCAATTGCAGCACAGTTAAAAAAAAAAAAGGAATCCTCTTTGAGCCATTACTTGTGTAAAGTATTTTCCCAAAAGACAAGGACACAGGCAACAGGTAATACTGAACTAAATGTAAAACCTCAACCTTTTTGATTTTTACCTAAACCGTGTGCACAAAACTCTGGAGGGATCTATGCTAACGTAGAACCCAGTCAGGACGTCTGCTACTGCTGTTTGCTCGTGTGTTTTTTTTTTTGTTTTTTGTTTTTTTTTTGGGCGATCGGTTTCAGGCTTCAAGTAGCACCATTATACCAACATTTCACATTCTACACATTGTTTTAGGTGTATTTGACCAAAAGTTTGACTGAAAATTCACATGCAAGCTTTTTCTCAAGGCTGTGGTATTTGCCCGCAAACAATACCTTTCAGCTAGCTAAAACAGAATGTTATGCTATCACCGAGCAACATGGCTAATGCCTTTCACACAGCTTTGTCTCAACTCCAAAGAGCCACAGAAGTAAAAGCTCATAATAATAATTGAAACAATCTTTGAAAAAATGACTTACCAAGCATGGCAAACAACTCAAATATGTAGAGCAAAATGTTCTGAAACGGCTTCACTTCAGCTTCGATTGGAGCCGTGCTGGGGGCGGAGTCTGTGAATTTACTCTATTGGTGTCATAGCCCCTCTAGGAGTTCAGAGTTAAGAGGTCAAGAGTTAATGTTTCCATTGTAACACCTCCAGATTTGACAGAGAAACACTCATTTTTAACACTCGATTTTAACTACTATCATTTTACACCTCAGAGTTACATTAAAAGAATGTGACTCTGCTTAGAGTAAAATTAACTATACTTTTGCAAGAAGACTATTAACACCAAAACATTTAACACTTTTGAATTTGCTGTGTACGGTGGCTGCTGTAGGACAAATAACTCTGTTGTGAGTTTAGACTGTCAGTCTGCTGTTTACCTCAACTGTCAATATGTGTCCATGTCTATTAACTCTGGAGGAGGCTGTAAATTTTGATGAAAGGGTCTGATACGGGTTGATAAGTTAGTGTAGCTCACTTCTATGTTTTTCCTGGTAGCGGCAGTTACCATTTGTTAGGTCCAGTTAGTATCTGTTAGTTGATGTTAGCCTCTGTTAGGTGCTGTTAGCTGACATTAGTACAACTTTCTTTGAAGTGGATCAAAATTGTTGATCTTGGACACTTAGCGAATAATCTCTCCCACAGTGTGAGAATGTAATCAAACTGTTTGTCAGAGGGAAAGACACTGAGCTACTACTCATGGATGGATGGATGGATGGATCAATAATGGCTCTTAGTAAAAGCAACTTGGAGAGAGATGAGGTTTTAAAGTACAGAATATAATCTCCATGTCAAATGCTTTTCTGGCATTGCAGCAAGTTGACTAGTTTGTTCAGCAAATGAAACATCAAACTGCAGACATGTTGTCCTTACATAATTCAGATGGATTTTAAACATAAGTGGACTAATTTGCCTAATCTGTGAGGTTTTAGACCACGTGGAAATGCAGTCATCCAGTGAGCTGAAGACATTTTCAGGTCCTCTGTCTGTGTGCGTGAGAAACAAGGTTCAGGACTGAAAGTTCAAAGTATTTTTGGTGGAAATGTACTTGTATAGTCCTTGGTTGCTGAAGATATGAATCTCTCTACCTCGCTCTCTGTCTGAAAAGCAATAGTGCTTTATGGTGAAGCAGACTAAAGAGATGTAAATCTTTGAACTCATACACTTTTCTTTACTTTTTTTTTTCATTGTATTTGGAAAGTACTTATGATTTATATGGTTATGATTATGGATTATGATTATGGTTATGATTAATTTTACTTATTTAGCATAAAGCAAAGACAGTCTAATAACATTGGCACTCTGCAGCTCATCTCGGTACATAAATCTACACTGCAGGCTGTTTCTGTGAAATAATGATGTTCTTTCAAAGTGAGAAATGTTGCTCTTTACAGTCCCTCTATCTTACTTGTTATACAGTGATCATTTCTTTCCCTCTCTTTGTGTCAGATAACAGCTTTTGATGAGCTTCAGGCAGATTTCAAGGTGCCAATCGATCAGGGCAACCCACTCCATGCGGTAGGTCTGCTTTCCCTGTTCATTTTTATTCATACACCCTTCTTTTACAGATTTCTTTTCATGATTATCTTACTGTGTGTTGCGTTATGAGAAAAAATGGAAAGTCCCGTATAATGCAAAAACATTGCAAGAAGTGGTTCTCAGTCTTTCCCAGTATATTTTGACTGTTTCTTCTCTGTTTCTCTTTCCATTAATTTCAAATCAAGCAGTTGGCAACATTCTAGTTTTGTATGCCGTCCTCTTCTCACTTCCTGGCTGACAAGCAGACTCCTATTATAAGACTGCAGGCCCAAGTGTTAAGTATGAATGACTCATCTTTTACAAAAAAACAACCTTGAATATGGTTATAAATAAAAATCGAAGTGACAAGCCACAAACATAGGTAAATGTGGCCCGCCAATGATGATTTTAACAATGCAAGCCATTTCTAAACTGTCAACTCTAAATCCTCAACCCTAGATGTTTAATACAAGCTCATTGCTAGACACATGTCTATGGCAATATTTGCTGACTCACAATTATAAGAGGGATGCTAATCAAACTATATAGCTTGTGACATCATTACCTAAGCTTTCAACTGATTTCAAATGATTCTTCACCTTCCACTAACATGAAGCAATAATTCAGAGTAAAAAGCAACTGAAATATATATAATCAAGGGTTTATTTTTAATCATGAAGGAAAATAAATGCAAGTAAATTTCACTTGACCATATTCCACTAAATGTAATGACTTTGCACTTATGTAACAAATTTGTGGAGTTTTTTTATGTAACAAAATCAGTCAAGTCAGCATTTGAGGCAGAAATTTATTTGAGTGTAACTTTTTGGTTTTTGTTCAAAAATATTTTCTTTCTTTACTGCAGGACTTTTGTAAGTTGTGGGAGATACTATCACAGCTTAATAGATTAAAGTTCCTGCTGAATCATTTAGAAATATGATGTACATTTCAGCTGAATATGTGATTTTTTTTTTTTTTTTTTTTTTAAAGCATGCAGAGACATCATTAAATTGTGTCATCGGCAGTTCTGATCTGGAAGCCCTTTCAGCAGGGCAGCATCATTTATCAGAGTTTTCCACAAGCAGCTTAACTTCAACCTTCCAAAGATGCAAAACATTGACAACCATTTTCTACACTTTACAAGTAAAGTTCAGATCTGTTGGTTGAGATTCTAAAAATGATTTTTGTGATACTATTTATTTCAAAGAGGCTTTTTCGGTGCTCTGATAGCAGTTTAACGTGCTGGCATTATGGCGCATTAGTACACTCTGCTAACGTTTCCATAAAAATAACAAAGGCAATCTTTTAACTCAGAAAAAGTCTTACAATAATAAATTATTGTTGTCACATTAATGCTTTTACAAAAGACTACAGTAGAGTCTTGTGTAAAAATTATGAATAGAGGCTCATAATAATAGAAAAAAGTTAATACACAAAATATATAAATGTACACAATTTACATTTAAAATAAAAACAATAGAGAACAGAACCACAATAAATAACGTGAAAAATTTGCACTTTCTTCGTTTCAGCTGACCGTGAAAGTCTTTAATGTGCATGGCTCTTATTTGTGCGAATCTCTTTTTTCCTGCCCTCAGTTTTATTATTACTGCAGATCCACCTTAGTTTTTGAGCAGAAGTTAAATGGGTAAAGATCAGACGAGATGACAACAACTTATTATGTTAAAGAAGAGCAGAAAATATTCAATTCAATTTTATTTATATAGCACCAGTATCAATAGTCCCAGTATTTGCCTCAAGGTAGTTTGTATTTTAAGGTAAAGACCCAACAATAACAGAGGTAAAACCCACTTGGTGACAGTGGGAAGAAAAAAACTCCCTTTTGACAGGAAGAAACCTCCGGCATGACCAGACTCAGGGAGGGACAGCCATCACAATGGGCTGGCGGTTAGGGGAGGAAGACAGGAAAAGACAAGAATTACTAGTGACTAAATGCAGAGTGGTGTTTAAACACATGATCCCAAGAAGTGTTACCAAAGATATTGTAGTGTAAAAGAAGATGCCAGAGAAGTTCAGCTTAGTCTTTTAATTGCATCAGCTCACTTGGGCACCATGTGGCATTTTAGCAAATTAAATATGGAAAACTACATGCCAGAACTTACTGTTACAGCAATCGCAAAATATCTCCAAACTACTGATAGCTTTAATTTAAAACTGAACTGAATAGATGAGACTTTTACTGTTACTGATAGAAATCTTGCTTTTTGAGTGTGATGTGCTCTCCACATTTCAGACTGGTTCTTCCCTCATGAGAACCGAGGAGACACAAAGATACGAAGCTACAAGCCAATCCCTGACAATGTTTGAAACTAATTGATTTGACTGTAAACATTAACTGTTATAGACTTTTGGACTAACACACACAAAAAGAGCTTGAAGTTGGTCCAATCCCAAGATTAAAGATCACAAAGGTCATACACTTCCTGACTTGAGACTGACGTGTGCAGACAAGACATCTATGTTAACCTTTATGGCTTTCCTTCTTCTACAAATGTGCCGCGTTTGAATTTTGTTACTGCAATGCTGTGATTAAAGGGGATCATTTTTTACATCCACATATATGCAGAAAATTATAGGCAGGAATAAAATCTCATGTAGGGCAACATATATTCAAAACATAGCCCTTTCGGATTTAGTTATATGGGTAAGAGTTTTAGGAACTCAGCGCCCAGCAGAAGCTTTACGATTGGTTGGTTTGTATAAATTTCTTTTTTTTAATCTAATTCATTCCCTTCTCTTTCTTCTTCCTCCCAAACATAAAATTATTCAGTGTTACCACTCCCAAAAGCAATCAGGAGACGTTGCAGAGAAAGATGTTCTTCGGGGTTGGTTAGCGTGGGAAACCTACTCTCGGTGAAATTGTTTCAGGATCAGTTCCAGGGCTCTAAACCCCTCTCCCCAGAGTATTCTGAGCTTTTACAGTTGGCTCTTAATAATGCACACTGCTATAGCACCAGCAGTGAGCCTGAAGGTGACATTGACTTAAAAGCTCTGGACTGTATAGCTTCTTAGGACTATTGACTTCTATACGTACATGCTTGGGGATGGGTGTCAGAAGCAGGGAGAAAAAGTTGCAGAAAGAGCAAGACTTCCGAAAAAAATTGCAAACTGGGTGAAAGAGTTTGAGATGGAAGCTGGTAGACAGAAAAGGGGAGAAATGGCTGAATGAGGATTTCGTAAGAGGCAAATGAAAAGGACTCTTCAGATTGAAAGGCATTTTCAAAACTCTGAAAACAGTGCATTAGACCAGATTTCCCCGCTCAGTACCACTTTCATATTTTGTCATATTTGCATATCATTATGCAATGCTGAACGTATCAAAGAAACCAGCGAGGGAATGGGTACAAAAGGTTCCATCTAATTTTCTCTTCCATTTTCCTTTCTTCTCTCACTCTCCCACATTTCCTTAACCCATCCCTCCCCCATTCTCCTCCTCCTTACATGAAACGCATCACTGCAGTCAATATTAACATGAAAATGTGGCCTTGAATTGCATGATTTCTTTCCAAAATACACATTCATTAAAGGCATTGTTAAAGTTCTGGCTACTCGTAAAAGTTTTTACGGTGAGTTCAACTTGATGTTTTAGTTTTCTGCTGGGTTCCCAGGGGCCTTGAAAATCTTAGAAATTTTGGGGGAACGGGAAAACCTCAGAACAGATTGTAAGAAAATAAAGCAACTCTCTCAAAATTACATTTAATTGATTAAGTCAGGAACTGCATAAAAGGAGGGGATGAGTGGAAGTGGGTTGCAAAGTGGGTATTCAACTCTTTTCAGGATAAAGTGTGTTAAAGAGCCACTGTATGACATCTGGTGCTTTCTTTTTCTTTCTTTCTGTGTGTGTAGTGTGTGTATTAATTTCTTTCTGGGGACCAAAAATTGGAGGTTTACGATACTTGTGGGGACCAACAGCCGTTATGGGTGACTAAGATCCCAGTCCCCACAAGTTTGAAGGCATTTTTGAGACTCAAAATGTTGTTTGAGTGTCAAAGTATCAGTTAGGTTATGGTTAGGTTAGAGTTAGGGAAAGCATTATATCAATGAGATGTCCCCACAAGGATATAGTGTGAGTGTGCACACTAATAAATTTAACTAGGCCATGTAAGCCTTAACTGAAAGGTTGAAATTACAATAAGACACAATACAAATTTTACTGAATAACTTACACAGTACACATAAATGTTTTGTTTTTTTCATTAAAAGGACTAAGAATACCAAATTTCCTACATATTTTGCACACATCTTGGTTTTTGGTATACAATAAGAAAACATTCTCTCATTTACCTTTCTGGCAGTTTGATGGTTTCATTCTGAACAGCCACACTTTTCCCTCCATCTCTCTAACACACACACGGCCTCTTACTGAAACTGTCCATGTGATCTGTCTCTCCCTAACTTTTGCATAATATCTCTCAGTTTTCTTTTCCTCCTTCCGCTCTATCTGTCTCCATCTTTCTTGCTTGAAACCAGCAAGTCTAATTAGCAGTTGCTGTCAGCCTGCTCCCTGAGGGAGGAACCTCACACTGGGCACATTCTTCATGCAGACACATGGTCAGGTGCTATCTCTCGGCATCACTGTCTATCCATCCCTGCTGCACAGTAAACTTTATGTAAAAGTTGCTCTCTTGTTGTTTCCCCTCTAACTGCCACACACACACACACACACACACACACACACACACACACACACACACTCAAATATGGAGTAGCAATCTGGGAAACTTGGAGGAATAAATTTATGAAAAATGTCACATCACATGGAGGAATGGCTTTTACCCATAAAACATATGGACTGTTTTTTACTGGAGGGTTTCTAAAGTTTTTTTTTCCAGAATTTGTATGTGTGTTTTTATCATTTTATGGCTGTTTTTCAATCAGGATAGCTTGTGAAAATGGAAGACCAGAATTAGGATTTTATTGAATTAGCTGACCTGCAGACAGCTGAGACTGAAGAAGTCACTTGTATGAGCGATGAAAAG